CCTGACGCTTTGTCCAACTGATGATTTCCCTTTCCCCTGAGAAAGCATCAATCAATCAAACAGACAGACAGACAGCAATTAAAAATTAATTTCCATGCTATAAACAACAACAACAACAACAACAAAAGATTCGCTAGAATGAAACAAAAGAGGCAACTGAAGTTAAGAAAATATATAGATAGATGAAACATGAAAGCGGTACGCATGTCGGTGGTTTAGCGGTAATCACTAATCAAACAAAGCAAGACAGGTAAACGCAGGCAGGCACGGTCTTTGGAATGCGCTTACAAAGTGAGGGGGAAATTGGCCGAGGAATGGGGAAAGCTTGCAGTGGCAGCAGTAAGTGAGTGCTGCTGCTGCTGCCATGGATTGGCCACACAACACGCTACACGCTGCAGGCTGTACGCCCAGAGAATAATAAACAAAGAAAGAAAGAAAGAAAGAGAGGTACCGTAGGCTTTTATAACGACAAATTGATTAAGTACAAATCAAGCCCAATCACCAAAAGCCGCCCCGACTGGACTGGACTGGACATTGTAAAGCCCATAACACACTCCCAATCCATGTTTCTTCTTCTTGTTTTCAAGAAGGAAGACCAATTTATTATTATTATTATTATTATTATTATTATTATTAACTTAAATTTACTATTAATATAATATACAATATAATTGCATTGTATATTAAATCAATTATATTCGGTTAACGATTTCAATTATAGTTGATTAGTGTAAATAGAATGTTTATGCATGCTTGAATTCTTAGAAAAACTTTATAAAAGTACAGTTGATTATCTTAATAACAACCATGTTAGTATTTTTTGCTAGAGATCCCATATACAAAGCTTTCTACTTAATTCAATAAAATATATGCTTGGAACGATTGAGCTATGCCATTTTGGCTAAACTTTCACATCCTTTGGTGCAGAATTTGTTGATGAGTGTAGGTGATGTTTATTTTCAGCAATTAAAGGAAGTAGGTCAATTGTTGCTTCCTTCCTGAACCTCTTCCTCCGTACAAATCATTCCATTGTTTCAGCTCAGCCATTACTACACCCTTAACAGAAAAGATTACACAACCTGCATCAGAGTAATATAGACCTTTATGGATCAAATGACAGTTCTAGATTCTTGAGCTAGTGTGGAAAATTTAACGCTAGGAAATAAAGACACATGGAGATGGTAATTATGTTACCTGGTTCTTTGCCTCTACACTTTTGGCAGACTTAATTTTACTTGCATAGAAACTGCAAGAAGCATAAATAAGCTGTGGTTTCTAGATATTATTATTTCAAGAAATACCATTTTCTTATGATTATCAGTTTCTAAATTCATTCAAGTAGAAGGAAAGAAAATCCCCTTTTGTAAAAGAGAAGCAAATTTTCAAGCAACTATTATTTGGGTCATGGTTATTCTCAAACCTTTTTTGATCCACTTTCGATTACTTTTCATCTCTTGTTTGTGACTACTGCCGACCACATCCTTCTTTTTCATCACTATCAAATATTTTACCTCACTTTCTTCCCTTTTATCACCAATATCTACTCATTAGGAACTTTGTTCTCTTTCACGCATCATCACTTTCCGCAAGATCAGGTTCCACATCACACAACTATCACTTTCTACTTCTACATCCCCGTGCCCCTATGCTTCCCCTCCACCCTTAGCTTCACCCTGTATATAAAATAATATAACCCTAAGCTCTTGTTAGGAATTTTGGACATCATAATCCCACGTAAACGAAAGCGATAAAGAAATTGAGATAACAATTTAACGTGATTCAATTTGTATAATGGGAAAGAAAGAAATAAATCTACTATTAACAAAAAGAGTACAATAATTGGGAAGTTTTCTCACTCAAGAAGCTCCCAACACCTTAGTTTAAATATATAAAAACTCTCAAATTCTCCCTAATACTCTTTTTCTTAATCTACACAAGGATTATCTCACAATTTTTCTCTTTCTTTTCTCTCACAAGAGCACTCACTCAATTTCTCTTTCTTCCTCCCACTCTTACTTGCACATTGCCTTTGCATGCATGGGTGTTTATAGTGAAAATTCCCAACCACCCAATCAAGTTTTTCTTTGCCTCATTACCACCCATCCATGATTTTCTTTGCTCATTAAATGGGTCAACATGCAATCTTGCATGATTTCAACAAAGCAAATGCTAGCCCACAACAAGACAATATTAATTATTAATTTAAATTTATTACTCAATTCCCTTTGTAGCAGTTCTTTTTGCATAAAGCTCCTAGTGTTGTGTTTTCACTTTCTATTATTAACATTTGCTATCAAACTCTTTAAAATATGGAAGTATTGAGACAATACTTTCATAAAAAACTATTATTGTTATTAAAACATCTTTTATTGTGCCTCATTATGTTGTTTAATTGTTTATTCTATAGTTGCTACTCCCCTTCTAATCTATATATCCTTTAAATTTTTTTGCCATTAAGTCTATCTATCCCTTATTCCTGCAACAATTATAGAGTTAGTATTTAGAAATAGAATGAAACAAGAAATTGTGAGTTATAGTAGAAAATTATGATTAGAAGACTCATTGACATTAGTTTGGGAAATTTTTTTGGCCAATCTATAAGTTTGGAAAATGTTTTTTCCAATTAAGTCATGACTTCAATCATTAGAAAGTAGGGGTGTTCATATTCAATTCAATCCGATTGATCTGACCTAAATTAATTTAATTCAATAAAAAACCAAACCAAAACGATATAAAATTAGGTTGGTTTAGATTATAAAGTTTTAAAATTGATATAATTGGTTTGGTTTGTAATTTTACCTTCAAAATGCACAAACCACCTAATTTCAAAATAAAATCCAATTACAAGATAACTTAATTAAATAATATAGTATATTTTTTGTAATATTTTAAATTTTTTTCCTATTTTATAAGATGATAATTCCATTAACTTAATTAAAAAAATAAAAATAAAATATCCCCATATTCTCTAATTTATTTTCCTTTTTAAATTGTACACTCCAATCCTAATTATAAATTTCTAATTTACCTATAACTCTATTTTTTATAACTAGTCTACAACTCTTCTTTCATAACCCTAAATTTTTAATTTATTCTTAAAATAATATTTCGATTCTTTTAACTAAACTTTAAGAAGTATCTTTGTAAAAGTTTTAAAATTATATAATAAAATTAATTTTAATATTCTACTATTTTTGGATATTGTTTGGTTGAGAAGTTTTAAATTTTAATTATGAATGGTTCTAATTATTCTTAATGACATTCATGTTAAATTTTATTTGATTTTAATAGGGTTTCGAATGTAGGATTGAATCATTTGGTGCATTAAGGAAAAAAAAAAAAACTAATTTGAACTTTTAAGAATTATTTGCATTGTATTTAAAACTTAGAGTCATCTTTTAATGGCATTCGTGTTAAAGTTAGGTTTCTGCTTGGAAGGAAAAGAAAGACTTCTCATATATGAATTTATTCCAAATGCAAGCCTTGATCGTTTCATATTTGGTACGCGAACTTTCCATGTTCATTAATAATTAGAATTTTTAACGGGTTTTTATGTCTCGAGTCATCTACAAAGCACAACTAGATTGGCAAATGAGCCAATATCTTTTAAATTGTTATCAGTACTGGTGATTTCTTCTTATAGATCCAATCAAGAAAGCACAGATGGATTGGCAAAGGCGTTATAGAATTATAGGAGGCATTGCTTGAGGACTTCTTTATCTTCATGAAGATTCTCAACTATGAGTTATTCATCATGATCTCAAACCCAATAATGTTTTATTAGATGCAGAAATGAATCCTAAAATTTAAGATTTTGGTATGGCAAAATTGGTTGCAGCCAATGATCAAACTCATGATACTATAAAAAGGGCTGCGGGTAGGGCTGGGCACGCATGCGGGCGACAACCACATCAAAATTGTGCTTGTGGTGCAGGCACAAACGGGCTTTGGGTCCAAGGAACGGTTTCGGGCTTCAATTGTTTATATTCGGTGCAGTGTTCGGTTCCAAGTCCAAGAAACGAACAACCGAATAATACACCCGAAAACCCGTATTATTTTTCAAGAAAATATAAAATACATATGCATTCTAATTCTAAGAGACAAACCCTAATTTGAGTAATTTCATTCATTCCCTTGGACCTCCCCAGGAAAATTTCATCTACCCACCTCCTCATCCCTTCAACTAGGGGTGTTCGCGGGGTGGTTTGGTTCGGATTTTAACATTTTTTAATCCAATCCAATTTAATCGGTTAGTAAAATTTTTAAACCAATCCAATCCACTATTATATGATAATCAAACCAATCCAATTTAAATTGGATCGGTGTGGTTCGGTCAGATTAATCGGTTTTTAACACTATTAAATATATGAGATAATATAAATAAATTTAACATTAAGTAAAAAAACATAAATATAAAATACGTTAATATCCAAATACAGAGAAACGTAATTAAAAAAAGTACAAATTATAAACAAATTCTTATACTCTTTTACAATTGTAAAAATTGAAAAGATTTAGAAATTATAAACAAATTCTTATACTCTTTTACAATTGTAAAAATTGAAAAGATTTAGAAATTATAAACAAATTCTTAAATTTTTATCTTGATCTCCAATAATACCCAAAAGAGGGCTGCCACCAACCTCCCAAGCTCTTTTAATTCTGAATTTGGATGGGTATTTATAATATTTTAGAAACCCTAATTGAAATAGAAGTAGGATTTGAAACAGAATAAGAAACTTGAATGTTCGACGCTGAACGTATAATGCTGACACTCTAAATTACGTATCGATACAAAATAAGAAACAGAAAGTTTGATTTTGGACTATTAACCCATGGTGTCGACACCCATATTATGTGTTTAAGAATAAACCCAGCAAAATGAAGACGACAACCTAGACAACAACCCAGCAAAATGAAGACGACAATTTTAACAAGTGCATGCTACCCAAGAAGGTAGGGTTTTAAGAATAAAGTTGCAACTCACTTATAAAGATAGAATTGTAGGGGAATTTGAAATTTAGAATTAAAATTTACGTATATAATTAAAAAAAATTAGGAAATATAAGATATG